ATCTGCACGTTCTTTCATCTTATAGTTTTGTTGCTCTAAATCAGCCGTCTTTAATCCGAATGATAAAAAACTAAAAACAGTCCTCTTTTACTCTTAGATGAAGCTGTAGTAAAAATGTTAGATTGATAGCTCACGTGGCTTTATGCGTAGGCGTGCGCCAAATTTTTTGTTGAATAACTTTACACATGTGGCCTATGTTTACACCAAATGAACTCCTAATTGTAAACATCTATCAGTGTACCAAATTTGAAAAAAAAACATCCATAAAAGTTTCTGTATTTTTGGTGCGAAGAAGAAAAAAAAAGGAAGAAACTCAATCAAAATTGGAGATGTTATATCTTTGGTATTATTTGTGGATTGCCTTGAAATTTGGTATGTGAAGTAAGAGTCCAGTACGGCACATACACAGAAAATATAGTCTGGATTACCACAGTCCGAGATACAGAAGGTGGAAAATCGCTAAACTATCACTCCTGTTAATAACACACAATGTGTTCTGCATCAGGTTGTTTTGGCCTCACGACACATTACCATGTGTCTTGATAGCATGATTTTGCTATCTTATTATAAATTGTATTTGCCAAGGTTTGAGCGATGTGATTTTAACAACTGTATCTAATGGTTCTTGCATCTAAAAAGGGTTACAATGCTGCAGTAACTTCTGTAAAATATAGACTGTTACAAAATTAGGCTACTGCTATATTCGTGTTTGAATAGTGTGGAGTTCAAACTATTTTCATAACCTTTCCACACTTTAAAGTACAGAAGTGACTTGTGAATTTTCTCTTAATGTTTTTCAATTTTATTTTCCCTAAAAGGGGCTGAAGGTCGCCTGGAGGGGGTCACTTCTTTTAACCACTCACACCATTATAGAATAGTGTGTTGTCTGTCAGTCAGTCAGTAGACACTAAAATGACGTCATATAAATGATGCTTAACACTGCAATTTGTACTGTCGTGACGTCAGTAAAACGTGGGCATGCTATGAATCACGAGAAGAATTATGCACTCTGTAGCCTACAACACAGCATGAGATATGAATTTCGAAAGTTTGTTTGTTTATTGTTTATTTGAAGTTAAGCACAAAGCTACACAACGGGCTATCTGTGCTCTGCCCACTACTGGTATCGAAACCAGGTTTCTAGCGTTGTAAGTCCGCAGAAACGTCGAAAGCAAGAAATAAAAATATTTGTTACTCTTAATTTTGTTTTTCTTTTACTCTTGAAATAGAACACTTTTTGGGACCCTGCGGATGTACATCTAGTTTATATACATCTTTATGAATTCACACACACTCACACACGCATGCAGATATGTAAACATGTTTGGATATTTAATGTTCCAGTCTTCCTTTCATGCCGAATTTTTAATCATGTCTTCAATTACATGTTAAATAAGTTTGATAATCAGCTTTCTTTCTCCTATTTCTAGTTTTTTAGACAAGAAAAACTTTTTTTTTATTGAAGTTTCGATCTGGGGGCAACGTTCATAAAGCATGTGGAAATGTTTAGTGATTTATAAGTTTTGAGTTTGTAGTATTTTTAAACTTTAAGGCAACTACAAAGGCAATCCTAGTAAAACACTATTTGATATGTATTTCTCCTTCTGATCATCTACAACTTGGATGTGTTTTCTTAGCTACAAAAAAAAAATCCCCAATTACCTCGAATATCAGAAAGAGAAATGTTTCTCTATGGATTGTTGGCTTTGGTTTGTAGAAATGAGATTTCTAACATTATAACAACTTCCATACAGCTTGTAAAACCTATATTCGCTTAGATCTTGTAGAAATGACGTTTCTAACATTAGAACAATTTTCATACAGCTTGAAAAAAATCTATATTCGCTTAGATCTTGTAGAAATGGCGTTTCTAGCATTAGAGCAACTTCCACACAGCTTGGAAAAACTATATTCGCTTAGATCTTGTAGAAATGACGTTTCTAGCATTAGAACAACCTCCACACAGCTTGAAGAACCATATATTTTGTTTAGACAAATAAATGTGGAAAATTATAATAAACCCTTTAATGATTAAAAAACACAATTTCGTCTTTTTTTTATAATAATTCTCGGTACTTATTCTCAATCTGTATAAATCGTAATTTGTCAACAGAAGAATGTTCTTTTAAATTTAATGTAACATATTGAACAACAAAGACCTCAAATCTCAGTGTGACCCAATAAATGTTAGCAAATCTGTATTTTTTTTCAGCTGTTCTACAGCAAAACCTATAATATACAACTTACAACTGGAAGGGTAAAGTTCATCATATCAGTTTTTGAAGACATGATCAAAATGTTCTTTTGTTGTTAAAATTGTCGTTATTCATTTTCCTTTTCATAAAAGAAAAATATAATTTTCCTATTTTGACCGAGGTCTCTCATGAACTCAATGAGGTTTAAATATTATAGGTTATTCAAAACATATTTGAACTACCAGCAGTATATATCTGTAAGCCAGGAACCTGTAAATGTGCAAGAGATACCCCTCACTGTGTTCTTACACAAACACACACACAGTTGCACATGCGTATAGATGCACCTACGTGAGTCTCATATGTTTGTAGGTCTTCTATTACATTTCTTTAGGCTATCTATCTAATATGAGCGCTTTTAAGGCAAGCCTAATAATGCATTTTTTTCTGAATAACAGATTTTAATTTGAGTGAAAATTCTTATTTTCTAAATACAACACATGTAAATTATTTCTAACTAAACATAGCATAGTCTAAAGGACCAACATCTTATTTATTCATAAGTTACGTCACTTAGCGGTGTAATAGGATAAATAGATTATTTAGAACTTAGCACTGAGCTTACCCCTTCAAACCAATAATTCAACAGAAAACCTTCGATTTTGTGTTTTTAAACGTCGAAGGTGAAAAAGAAATATATGCGTCTTACTGCATCCATTTCTATCAATTAGTTACAATATAAATCTTATCCATAACCATTTTTATAATTCACAAAGGCAAACTTTTATCTACCCGTAGTAATTTTGCTCTAAGAACATAAATATTTGTGTATGTTTTACCCTACTACTGAAGAAGGCACATGTGCAAAATAAATTTTCAAGCAACCGTAACAAATTGCTACGTACCCTCCTAGTGAGTAATCTGGCATCTAGAAAGACATATAGCTCCACCCACCGGAAAAAAGCTGACTACTGTGTTGGTTGACTTTTGCATACACCTGAAGAAAATCTGCCAGTAGTAACTCTGGATTGGTCGTCATGCTAAGCCGGATGGGTGATGGCGGATAGAGGGGAAGGAAAGAGGGAGAAGAGGGGGTGCAGGTGAATATCATCAGTACAATGAGATTCTACGCTAGGGTGAGTAATTGCAGTTAAATGACAGGATACGAGTAATTTTGATGAAATATTGCGCGCTGCAGGAGACTTATTCAGAACCAATCCTGATGTTTTGACATCTCGTGACACATTGTTACCATAGAAACTGGCCTCTCAAAAAAGCACAGAAATCATTCACATGGAGATTTTGTTTTTTTTTTTTTTCAAGAAAAACAAATAAGCCCAGCAAACGCATTCATTAGCTGATATATACAATAATTAGCTGAAGCCCTAAAACCTGATAATACATATATTCTCTCCCATCAATGAAATAGAACATTAACCACGAAGTAAACAGTTCGGCATTAATTGGGTGAGTACAAATAGGAATGAAAAGGTGTAAAAGTAACTTATTGTTTTTTGTTGATACAGGACGTTCTACGCATCTGATGAACTGAAGTAGTCTTCTGTGAAAAATAAAAATAAATAAATGCTTCAAACTTCTGAACAGAATTATTTGCATTTATTTTCCCGTTTTATAATGCTTAATGATTTCTTCTTCAAAACACTTCAGTCCAAAATGTGCCTCTGATTCTTCAGTCGTTCTACATAAAATACACGGATTCTTTCTTCTGAAAATTTAATGGGAAAAAGACAGGAACAATGGTGGCTTTATATCTTTTTAATTGACTATTAAAAAAACCTTAGATGCAATACCCTAAGATTGTCCTTGATCTCACTATTAACAACCACGTCGAATAATAATTTTGAATATTCTCATGTGTCATTTAATTATGAGACCATTCTTTAAGTTATTGTAATCGCTAACTTAATTGTTTGTTTTTCATTTAAATAATAAATTATATATAGTTTGTTTGAAGTTAAGCACAAAGCTACACAATGGGCTATCTGTGCTCTGCTCATCACGGGTATCGAAACCCGGTTTCTAGTTTTTAAATCCACAGACATACTGCTGTGCCACTGGGGGCATTATATACTGACAATTATTACATGGTTATAGGGGTTCATTAGGAATAAATCCTCTCTTGAGGTTAAGTAATTAAAATGAGCATAAACCTTTAAGCCTCCTAGTGGCTCAGTGGTAAGTCTGAGGGGGTCAGACCGCTAAAATTCGGGTTTCGATATTCGTGGTAGACATTATGTAGCTTTGTGCTTATCAACAACTAAAATAAACCTTTAAAAAGAAATGTCCCAAGATTGCATTTTTTTAAGATAACTGTATTTTAAAACCATTTCTTGGCAAGAAAACACCGTAACCTGTCACACATTAGTGTAATTTATTGGTCAATTCTAAAACTATTAGCATATAGTTAGTAAAATTTCAAAATATTTATTCATTTCATAAGCTTACATTTAATACCAACCAACAGCCACATCAGAAGCTGTATCATACGTGTGATGAACTTATGCTTGATTATGAGCTTTAAAAGTTCGTTTATGCTGCTTGTGAAACCTTCACAAAAACGGGTTTTGAGGGCGTACAGACGTGAGGCCTAGCCGTCACCTTACATGATTCACGTGTTTGCAAAAGTAGGCGTTGCAAATATTGTTCGTGATGTATATCAGTATAGAAAGTTATAAGTTTTTTTCCGTTGCTCTAAGAATATAGATTAAACGTGTCAACATTTTACTCGCACCTTTTACAAATAATGCTGTATCTTCAGTCATCACTTACAGCGCTACTTTATCATAATAACTTTTAGACACTAACTCGAGGGGTATCCTGTAGTTGTATGACTCTTTGCTCATTTCAGAAGTATATATTGGTCTCTGAATGCTGACCAATCAACAAGTTTAGTTCTTGACCCGCAAAGACACTCGAATCAGTAACATGTAATTTTTTTATCTCTTTCTCTTGATTAAACATTTCAAACAATGCAATTACTTAATGTTACACGTAATACTCAACATAGTTGAGTATACATTCTACCAACTGACTATAACGCAAGTAATTATGCAAGAATATGTCTTCTACACAGATTCAAATTATATAGGGATCATGAGTGAGGATAAGCTTGTGTTCTTTGCTTGCTTGTGTGTTGTAGAGTCAAGCACCTGGTATATAATGCCAGTTGTCCAGATACTCCCTGTTCATCCTTCACATACCATGAGCTACCAGCTGCTCACTAAACGTTTGGTCGTACGTCGTTGCTCGATTTACGATAACATCTATAATGTTCAACTACCGAGTAACTAATTTACATAAACCGTATAATAAGATCACTTCCATGATACTAGTAAAAGTTGATCCGCTCTATACTATTTGGTCTATACTATACTAATGATGGCATAAAATGTATTTTGGTTGAAATCAACCCTTGTTTTGAGCCATAACAGACTGTAGTCTCTTTCATTTGTTAGACTTTAAAAGTTTTTGTTTCATTTATTAGATTTTAAGAGTTTTTATTTTGTGTCTTTGCTTAAGGATCAGATACGTTCACTAGACCAACAACTAAAACGTTATTTGGTTCGTTAATCATATATTTGCGATCGTTAGAAGTGAGTAGTGTTGTATATCTGTTGTACTTCTGAACGACAAAAAGTGAAAAAGGAAAACGTGCAACACGCTGTAGTTCAAATCTAAATTTGCAAACTTAATGAATTTCATAAAATTGTGTAATATAGAATCTTGTTCTTTATTCACATATTAGCTGCTTCTTGTATTTTTCAGAACTTGAGAAATTTAAAAACGTCTAAAATACACGATCTCACAAAGTTATCATAGAAAATTATACTTGTGTATCTTATTAATTTTGTTACAAACTGACTGTCAGATTGACAGTAAACAAGGTATTGCTAAAAAGTATCTAAAACATCATATTGTATTGCTTCACTCGTGTTTATTGTGAAGTCTAAATGAAGCTTACAAAGGCAAACAAAACAGTGACTATGTTGGTTCTTATACAAGTTTTATAATATGTAAAGTTTCTTTTGTCGCGTCAGATTATACTTTATCCATCATTAGTTCAAAATAATTAATTCTAAAAACATTAATTAAAAGTTTATTATTGTAACTAAATAATCAATATCAAAAAGTGAATAGCATAATATCATTATTATGTTATTGGCATCATTTATTATTTCTAATGTGAAAAAGATAGTGAAATGAAATATAAAATTGACCAATGATGAATTACCGTAGTATCAGCCTTTGGATCTACAATTTTTATATACAATCAGTTCGATATATATTCGAACATTTACTTTAGTTTTCTGCTTTATGCACTATTGAATATAATTATTCTGCTTACGACTTTTTTTCATAAGCCAACTGTATTTATTTTATTCCTGTGGCTGAGCTGGCACACGCTTGTGTATTGCAGATGCTGACAAAGGAAGTAAATATAATTAACTCATATTAAATAACTGTAGCAGAAATCAGGCGTATTCTGAGTAAGAGATCCATTACAGCTTAATATCGGTCCGGCATGGGCGGGTGGTTAAGGAGCTCGAATCGCAATCTGTGGGTCGCGGGTTCGAATCTCTGTCACTCCAAACATGCTCGCCCTTTCAGCCGTGGGGGCGTTATAATGTGACGGTCAATTGATAGTATTAAATACGGTAAAGTTTAGCCCTAACTAAACTAAAGAAAAAGTACACAAGTTACAGTGTTAATTTAACTCTTCATCGAATATAGGCCGTACTTAATAAAGGCTTAACTAATGTTAGGCTTAAGACAAGTGGACTTAATAGATTTCGGTGTCTGCGATTACAACTCGTTTGTATTACTCTAGAAATATTGTATTTAAAGAAGTACTGTCGCAATAAAGATACTAATTTGACCGTGGATATTTTGCAGGTCTCTACTATTTCAAAAATAAAATCGTAACGTGTAATATCCAAGAATACTTTACAAAGTCCAGAAATCATCGTAAAAAAATGTTTGTGTGATTTGTCTTGTCTCGCTTTTAAGACATCAGGAAATATCTCAGTTTAACAGACTGTGCGGCCCATGTTTTACATTTTTTGAGTGTTAAAATGCATAGTAGTGATTTCTTACATTTTTAAAAGTTACACTTTTATAAATACATCAGGAAATTTCGTATTGTGGAAACCAGTTTCACAAAAGTCGTAATTCAACATATATTTTATGAAGGCATCAAGTTACTAAGATAGTGTATTTTGTTTCTTCCTAAATATTCTAGTTACTAAATACACGGGACAAAACTATGAATTAAAGTATCAGAATATGATAGAAAGTAATGAAAAAACAACAGTCAAGAACACGAGAACTGTGCAACTCAATGCTATGTTAATGTATTCATCATAATTATATGTAGAACTGGCGATAGAGCTCGAAGAAATAAATTGGTAATTTAATTCGTTAATTGTAATGTGTGTGTTGTTGTTTTTTCAACTTTCCGTTGGCTTTAAAAAAAGAGAGATTTAAAAATTATTCATCCATTGCAGTAGAAAGTCAAGCTATTTTATCAGGTGAAATACACAAGAATGTCGGATACAATCTAGAGGATTTATGTGTAGTTATCGGACGAAATACCTCACACAAGAATACTGGATACAATTTAGATTATATATATATATATATATGCATACTTATCGTGGGGTAAATAGAAATATTCCCCTCTTTTAATTTTGCCCCCCAATGGCACAGCGGTATGTCTGCGGACTTACAACGGTAGAATCCGGGTTTCGATACCTGTGGTGGGCAGAGCACAGATAGTCCATTGTATAGCTTTGTGCTTGATTAAAAAACAAACAAACAAACTTTTAATTTTGTAAGAGTTAGTATTGGCTTTCTGAGAATGAACGGTAATAACGGTGGTAGTGTTCAAAGAGTGAAATATTAATAACCCGCCTTATTTGAATACGCAGGTTATCCAAGAGGTTTGGAATTGTCCAGGTTCTTTAGATTACAGGTGGATCATGGTATATCTTTATTTCTGAGTCAAGCTTGAGTGAACGCCATTGGAATCTTTCTAGTATGGTTGTTTACAACCATTGCCGAAAACAAAAATATATAAACAGTATTATAAATAGTGCAGTCCAAT